CTCTTGCGGGCTTTTTCTCACATGCTATGCTGGTTGGTGCACAGTGCCGCGTCAGCGGCTTCTCCATGAAGCTTGCCGGAAGAGGATGGAGCCTTTTGGCCAAAGACCCAAGCCAGAAGTCCAAGAAAGCCCCAGAAAGCGAAGACCCGACAAGGCCGAAAGTCCACAGAAAGTCCAAGCAAGAGCTGAGTAAAGTGAAGTAGCAATTGGACTGAAGGCAAGCTCTGGGATAGCGTATGCCGGAGCGCTGAAATCCGGGATGGGCCCAAATCGAGGTCCCTCGCCAGGAAATCCAAGCGTGGCGTCGAAGTCCATCATATGGCCAAGTCCAGGCCGAGAGGCGTGACAAGGGTAGTGCTTGAAGTCGACGTGTGCATACCTCCAGGAATCATTGCCGTGTGGGAGAAGGAAAGTCATTGTCCCTTGTAGGGTGGTCAGCTGGCAACAATCGGGTGCCCTCCCTAGCGCCTTTCTGAGGCCATGAGATGGTGGAGTCCATGCACAGAGAGAAGCGAGACCTTGGTCGGTTGACCGCTTGTTGTTTGCAAAGCTTCTCTGCAGCCAGTCAGTGCTTCTGGGATGTTGATATGGAGGGGCTTCCCATGTCCACACCTTCTCAGTCTTCCAGCTGGATGCGAGGAGGATGTCGTTGACGAGGGTAGCCCATCAGTTTCGAGGTCCGTGCTTGCGGACGTCATCAGCTTTGTGTGAAGGGATCTGAGAAGGCTGCCGCAATTGCCTCCGCCAGTGCATCAGTGTAGGTTGCCGATAGCTTTGCCCATTTTCCTTCGATGGGGATGTGTCGGTGACTCCTATCGCAAGGTCGATGAATCCTCCGGACCTCCTCTCAAAAGTATGTAGAAAGACGAACTCTTTGAGGTGTGGGGACCCATACCCACAGGATGCTGTCCATGTTTCAGAGGCTAGGCCATTGGTCACGAGGTACAGCCATTCGAGCAGCTTCCTCATCTTCGATTTGTGGGGCTGCTCCAAAAGGCCAGGAATATCAAGGACAGCTGCCAAATTCACAGCCCTCAAGGCGAGGGTAGTGCGAAGCAGCGTCTTTGGCTCGGTAGGCTCAAAGCCTCTGGGACAGGTCCAGCTCATGCTGGATGCTGGGCCGGAGAGAACGTAGTGCACGGAGGTGCAATCATGAAAGAGTCGAGTTGACCCTTGTCGATGAGGTGGAAAATCCACCTGAGAACGTTCAGGGAGGACAGGTCATAGTGTGGCGAAAAACTGAGATCCAGAATCAACCAATCACCCATCCACGGTCAGACAGGGCCTTTGCTCAAGGGATTCGGCAAGGCCCCTCAGAGCACGTGCCGTGGCACGGGTGACCTCAATCAAGATGAGTAAGCCGGCCCCGGCGCTCATATAGATACGCCGAGAGGCGTGAAGAGGGATGAGGGGAGAGTAGGGAAACTGAAGGAACTGATCTCAGGTGCAAGTGCAGCCAAATCCCGAAGGAGATGCAAGCCAAGGGCGCCCAAGCAAAATCCAGACGTGAATATGGCGGCCAAGTAGGCAGGAGAGGATCCGCAATGAGCGGGGCACCCTAAACCAAACCAATTGGTCGCACTCCCCCACGAAACCAGGTTCAAAAGGTCTATGAATCCCGGCTGCATACAAGGCTTTGAGCCAGCCACATGGCATTCAGAGTTAGAAGGCAATTAGACCGGGTCAGGCCAGCCGAACTCGTTGAACGGTCAAACTGAAGGCTCCGGATTGCGCTTGCGCTTGCGCACTTGCGCACGCGCGTTTGATCAGCGGCGCCGCCCACCCATGCCACCCACCCAGCGCGACCCCCGACCCGTCCCGGACCTGTCGGGGAGGATGGCGCTCGCCCTGTGGCCTCGGAGCCCGAGGAGCTGCCGCTCTCCTGGCCGAACCGCCGAACCGGTGGGTGTCGACCGGTGGGGAGGGGGAAAGAAGGAAGGAGACAGTCCAGTCTGAAGAGGTGATTCCTGGGCGAGAAACTCTTGTCCCACTGCAGCCAAAACAAAGGTCTTTCAAGACCAGAATTGCCTCCACTGTCACACCAAGAGCTCCTCCCCCCCCGCTCCTCGCTTTCCTCATCGCCGGACTCCTCCTCGTACCTGAGGAGCCGTAGAAAGGGATCATGAGCGAATCTACTTGTGGGTGTGTAATTGAAATAGGGAGACCCCCCTGCTTGGGTAAATGGTCTGATTTAATTTGAGATTGTGTTGGTCTATTTCCCGAACAAAACCGAACCCCGTTCCAAGGGCAGTTGGGGAAGATCAACCTCACCAGTGTTTTTTTCCGCACAGCCAGGTTTATCAATCTGATCTGTCTGGAAACTAAAGATCCCATAACTTGATCGAATCTGATGACTGACCTGATCTGAGGATGCTTTTTGCATGTAGCGAGTCAGACCAACACCAGGTAGCGAGTTATGCCCGGTCTGATGCCATGAATGCCATGACCCATCATCTATCACCGTCCATCCCATCAGTTTCTGATCTGCCAAGACTGGTGACCGGACCAGCTCTTCCACTCACCTCCACTCACCTCCATTCACCTCCACTCACCCTCTCCCCCTACAGTACCTCCCCTCACCTCCCCTGCACTGCACCAGCCCTCCGGGCCGCCCCAACGTCTTGCCCGCCGTCTGCTGGATCTCCTCCTGCACGCGCTCCAGCGTCTCGGCGTAGTCCTCCTCTCCCTGCGTCGAGTTGAGGCGGTCGGCGGCGACGCGGGTGGCGGTCGGGGCGGGAGGCGGGACCACCGCAGAACGCCGAGACCGAAGGAGGAAGAAGTCAGGAGATCGTCAGGAGCCGGCCCCTACGCGTGGTCCCCCCAAAAAAGCTTTGGAACCCCAAACACAACACCCAACAAGGGTGTCCAACTGTCAAGAAGGACCCTGAAGTGTCCTCCACTATTTCTGCGAGACGGGAGACTGGTGAGACAGGAGCGCGCGGCACGCGCGTGTCAGACCACGTGGTGGTGCAGCCTCGAGCTCGTCGTTCACCGTGGCGCCGTGCCGCCGGTTGGTGTCACAGAAGGCCTCAGGCACCTTCAGATGCAGGTCAGGAGGTCAAAACACACCTGAGAAGGGGGTTGCCCTTCGCAACAGGCAGGAGATCTTTATTGAGACTTGTACACCAGGGATGGGTGAATGATGATTTGCGCTTCCCACCAAACACACCTTCAGAGTCCTGTGTCTTGAACATCGAAACGCAAGTGTTGCGCGTTGGCAATCGTTGGACGATGTTGGACGCATCACTACAGAGGTCACAACTACAAACCACTGGATGCGTCTCAGGTGTCTCTCTATAACATCCCAACGGAGGTTGAAGAACCCTATAATTAGACTATCATCCCATAACTATATATAGGTACCCCAGTAGGTCCTATTTATGGTCACTCAACCTCTGTTCAACTGTTGGTCGCCTCAAAGACCGCCTACCACCGCCCCGCGTGTGGGTTAGGTCCCAGCGCGACCGCCGCGCCTGGTGATAGACCGAAGCTAAGGTGGAAATGTTCGCCACCAACCGGTCCAGCACACGAGGCTGAAAGGCCTTTGACATCAGGCGGGCAACGCGTTGACAGGCGCGGTGGCAGGCGCCGACGACTCGGTCCGGGCGGAGGTCTGGGCGGTCGCACGGCCGTCGTGATACGGCACGTCTCGGCCTCTCCATTGACAGCCGGGTGCCCCGGCAAAGGGGTTCTCGCTGATGGTGGGTCGCTCGCACAGAACCACCTCACGCGTCGCGAGCGAGGCGGCGGCGGCTGAGCCGGCATGCGGCATTCAGGCTCTGGAGACTTTGGATCCACTGAGCCTTTGCCAGGACCCTCCTGTCGGGGTGAACAATGGAAGCCTATAGGTAGCGTGGGGTAGCCCATTGGACACCCCTTGGAGGGTTTATGGTGGAGAACATCTGAGAATTGCATTCAACTTCCAGCAGTCACGTGAGGAAGTCGGGGTGCGGACTCCATGGAGGGTGCCGGTTCCGGGGTGCCCAGCTACTCCACTCATTTTAATTGGGGACTAAACACCACCGAGCTCTGTGACTCCTGCTGTTCATTCATGGGATCTCATATGAGTTGAAACACCCTTGAGGGTCTGAGTCGATCACGACCCCACCCTCATACTCAGAGTAACTCCATGTAACTCCTGTCATACTCAGGTCATGATGTCCTCTTGGAAAACCCGCCACCTGCTTTCCTGGAACAGAACTGGTAAGGACTCCACTTCCTAGAAGGCTAGTGGCCCACTCCCCAACCCGAGGCCCCTGGAAAATCAAGGTTCACTGAACCTTCCACCTCTTCTATCTTGATCTCGCCGCAAAAAATCACTGACTCTCTGGTCCAACGATGCAAAGCTGCAGCGAAGCGCCAACCAACCGAAGCGCCACGTCTTCAACGTTAGGAGCTTGGATAGCACACGGGCGGGCGACGAAAAAACTCCTGGGTGTTCATAAGAGTTGTTTTTCCAGCACGCCTAGCCACATCCATGGCCAACCCATTGAGGGGTGGCTTAAAAAAGCGGATGTTCCGCCAGAACTGCTTGGTCCACGGATCCGGACTCCAGGGACTCCAGGGACTCCAGGGACTCCAGGGACTCCAGGGACTCCA